CCCCCCACCGGGGGAGTGCTTGCTAGAGCCGGCGTAGTATTAGAGCCTGGGCCATGCAAGACAAGCACGAAAACCATCTTGATACTGCAACAGCTGAATTGCGTTAGGGCTGGCTCGCTCGACCACCAGACCCCTAGACTCGTACACGTTGGCTGGTCAGGTATACGCAGTACTGCTCGAAACACTAGAGTCGATCCTTATTTTGTTTAATTTGCTTCTCGTATCACAGAAAATGCCGGCGAGGCGGCATTCGGAGCATCCACTATCACAATGCCAGCGTCGAGGGGGCGGTGTCGGACAGCGCGTAAGTCGCAGAACCTCGATCAAGGTTGGGGGGAGGATCTCCCTCGCCGCTAAAAAATCGTAATGCCGACGGTAGAGCCGCAGCTGCCTACATCCTGTGCGCCAACGTTAGCGGGAAACGTGGCGTTCGTTTTGAGCGAGCGGGATTTCCGTGTCCTGTTGGGCGAAACGGTAATTGTGGAGACGGCATTTAAAGAAATTTGCATAGCATCGAGGTAAATTTGAACGACAATAATGCAGCCACGTGTAACGGAGCACAAACCGATTGTCAGCGAAATTCGCCGGTGCAGAGGCGGGAGGGCGGACGGGCGGGGCGTTATAGCAGTCGTGCAGCTATCGAAGAGAGAAAATCGAATCAGAATAGATGTGGGACAATCACTGGGCGTTACGGCGGACATTATCTATTGCGTCAGTGGGCTGACATGTCGCCAGAACTTTAACCGTCGCGGCTTTAAACTAGCACTGAGAATGAATCGTCGGCTGGACAATGTAAGTGCATGGAAGGTAAATATATCACGAATTCGCCCCCGAACATGAGCCAAGCAAGAACAGAATCGAAGTAGATGTATTAGTAAGAAGCAGGAAAAGTCAAGAATGTACAGCGGGGGCCGTAGTTAACTTTCATTTTGTCTGGGCGAAGGCACGTCAACCTCTACCCACGGCGTTGTTTATAGCTGAGCAGCCGCGACCCATGGCGCGAATTTGTTATTGTCCAGCCTCCAATTAATAAGCAGACATTGTCTGGTGGGCACCGGACTGATGATCCTTTCCGGCCGTCCCGCGGCTAGCTACGATCCTTACGTGTTGCCACCTCCCCGCTAAGCGACGAGGCCTTACTGTTCCGCTTCCCGCGTGCCTACTAACGCATCTTACTTTTCTGCCTCCCCGCTAGCCCTCACGATCCTTACTTTTCCCGCTCCCCCTGCTAGCATACGATCCTTTACTTTCCCGACCTTCGCGGCGCTAGCTACGCATCCTACTTTTCTGCCCTTCCTCCGCTAGCTACTCCTACTTTCCGCCTCCCCTGCTAGGTATGCATCCTCTACTTTTCCGCGCGCTCCCGCCCGCTAGCTACCGCATCCTTACTTCCGCCCTCGGTACCTCTGCAGCTACGAGTCCTGACTTTTCCGCCTCCCCTGCTCGCTAGCTACGATCCTACTTTATTCCGCCTCCACCCCTTAGCTACGGGATCCCCTTAACCTCTTTACCTGACCTCCCTCTGCCCCTTAGCTATGATCCTTACTTTCTGCTTCCCACCGGGCTAGCTACGATCCTTACTTTTCCGCCTCCTCTCCCTAGCTATGATCCTTACTTTCCGCCTCCCCCGCTAGCCCTACGATCTACTTTTTCGCCTCCCCTGGCTAGCTACGATCCTTTACTTTCCGCCTCCCCCTGCTATGCTACGATCCTTACTTATTCCGCCTCCCGCCGTTGCTGTGGTGACGGCTCGGAAGCCAAACGATCACGTGCGATTGTGTGTCGGTCTGACACGCGGAGGCGAGGCAATTATAGAGCGCTGTGTTTCGCACCTCGCGCGCTGACATGGGACCGGGTTTAACGTGATGCGACAACGCACCCTACGTCACCGTGGGTGGATGGTGGCAGGAGGCCAGGAGGACAACGTGCGTACACGCGTGCGCGCGAGTGCGTGTACGTACGTAACCGTGCGTTTGAGTGTACGCATGCATGCGATGTGTGAGTGTGTGTGTGTGTGTGTGTGTGTGTGTGTGTGTGTGTGTGTGTGTGTGTGTGATTGTTTGTGTGTATGTGTGTGTGTGTGTGTGTGTGTGTGTGTGTGTGTGTGTGTGTGTGTGTGTGTGTGTGAGTGTGTGTGTGTGTACAACCCCAGACTGAGAACTAAAGAAATATTGGCTAAGCTGATTGCTTTGCCGCTACGTATGGAAATCTTAGTGAAAATCTAAAGAAATTACAGTCAGGATTACCTGACTGTGATGATACTGTCAGTTGAAATTTCGATGTTTTAATTTCGAATGCGTTCGGGGTCGGCAGGGTGCGCTTCGGGGTCGGCAGGGTGCGCGCCGTCACCCGAGTATTCATGAATCAGCTCTCATCCCTTGAGGTGTTGTGAGATTCGCTCGGTAAAGTCCGTGATTGTTCGGCAAAGGTCGGCGCGAAAGTGTGCGCGCGTGCGACAAGAAATGGGTTAGAGACATTTTTCCGTTTCCTCTTGGGGTCACGGAGGGTGAGAAAGAAAAAGTGACATGAAAAGAGAAAGATAAGGAAGAGAGAGAATGGAGAGAGAGAAGGGAGAGGGCGGCAGATAGACATAGGGAGAGAGAGAAAAAGAACGAAAAAGAGAGAGAACGAGAGAGATGGAGCAAGAGAGAATGAGGAGAGAAAATAGAGAGAGCGAGAGGGTACGTGGTGGTGGACAGAGAATTGGGCTTAATACGTACAGGATGTAAAACACAATAATCGTTACATAGATCATTAGACAACAACGCTGCAATCCCGGCACCCCGGGTGTTACCACGTGACGTCAGCACAGCGGCGGCGCTGCGATCGATACTGAGATCCGTGTGCGCGCGTGCTCTTGTTGCGCAGGAAATCCAGTTCGGTTAAATTCTGACAGGTGGCGCTGATCGATCGCGGATAGCAGCGCCTGCGGCAGACGACGCTGGCGATGACAGCTTCCTAGTTTTGTTTTGCGTAGATGTTGCGACATGGATTTAGAGGAGGTTCCCGTGAATCACGTCCACGTATCGTCTAACATGCGTGTGTGTGCGTGTCTGTGTGTGTGCGCGCGTGCGTGCAGGCGTCCTGTCTTGAAGCAATCATGGTAGCTGGATGTGCATTCATCTATTCTCCTCGCTCCTAATTAAGCGTGGGAACCGTCGACACTTATGGATTTGGTCAGTTCGTACCTTTCCCGATGAATGATTCACTAACAATCAACGCATCGACTCTTTTAATGAACATGCACGCATGTAATTATACCATTCTCGCATTAACCGGGAGAAATTCCATCTTCCAAAAATGTCTGCGCAACAGAAAACAATATTCGCAAACTTTACATATATATAAATCTTCGTTCAAGTCACAATTTGGCGTGCACGCAAGAGAGACAGAGCGCGAGAAAGAGAGAGAGGGAGGGAGAGAGAGAGAGAGAGAGAGAGAGAGAGAGAGCGAAAGCGAGAGAAATCGAGAGAGTGGGGGAGCGAGGAAGAGAGAGAGAGAGGGAAAAAGAGAGAGAGAACCGTTTTCCAAACAGATCGATATGTAAAATGTCGACGAACACCTGTGCCAACAAGCCCTCGTCTCCGCCACTAGTGATATATGGTGTAATTACTCTGGGCCGCTTGTGTACGCGTGTGTATGTATAATGTAAGTATGTAGCACGCCATGCACGTGTCGCCGCGAGATAAGCACCTCGTAGCATCACGCAAGCACCCGGAGAACCGCCGCCACCTTGTCGCGTTATATCAGGCGTCCTGTCTGTACTGACGCACGCACGCACCCAAGCACGCACGCACGCACGCACGCACGTACGCACGCACGCACGCACGCAAGCACCTGGAGAACCGCCGCCACCTTGTCGCGTTATATCAGGCGTCCTGTCTGTACTGACGCACGCACGCACCCACGCACGCACGCACGCACGCACGCACGTACGCAAGCACGCACCCGGAGAACCGCCGCCACCTTGTCGCGTTATATTAGGTGTCCTGTCTGTACTGACGCACGCACGCCCGCACGCACGCATGCACCGCCGCCACCTTGTCGCGTTATATGAGTCGTCATGTCTGTACTGACGCACGCACGCACGCACGCACGCACGCACGCACGCACGCATCATGGAAAAGAGAGACGATGGCAGAAAAGAGAAAGAGAGAGAGAGAGAGAGAGAGAGAGAGAAAGGAGAGAATAGTTGCGGTAACTGGCTATCTCTCTCTCTCTAGTTACTCTCTCTTACTGAGCACTCTTCACGTCACTCATCTCTCACCACGACTGCTCTCACCTCACTCCTCACCTTCTAGCAGCTCCGCCCACACCCCCCGGCCGCCCCGCCGCCCCGCCGCCCCCCGGCCCCCCCCCCCCCCCCCCCCCCCCCCCATCATCTCATCACTACCACCCGCTCCCACCCCCCCCCCTCCACCCTCCACCACCCCCCCTCACTACCCCCCCCCCTCACTCGTCACTCACTCACTCACTCACTCACTATCATCACTCACTCATTCACTCACTCCTCTCACGTCACTCACTCACTCAATCCTGACCCCCTCACCTCCACCCTCCTCACCCCCCCTCACCTACCCTCCCCCACCCCCTCCACTCACGTCCCCACTCAAGTCCCCCTCACCCCTCCACACCTCCCTCACTCCCCCCCCCCCCCCCCCACCCCCCCCCCCTCACCCTCCCCCCCCTCCACCCACACCCCCCCCCCCACCCCATCGCCCCCCCCCCCCCCCCCGTGCTCCGGCTCATCCTGGCACATAGCTCACTATCACTCACTCATCTGCCTCACTCATCACTCTCACTGTTCATCACTTCACTCACTCACTCACTCACTCATCCACTCACTCCACGTACTCACGATCACCTCACTCCGTATCCTCACTCAATCCTCACGTCCTCATACGTCACTCCTCCGTCACTCACTCATGTCCGGCGCACTCCTCACATACCGGTCACTCCCAGCTGATCTCACTCACTCACTCACTCACTCACTCACTCACTCACTCACCGGAAACCGTCTTCGGTACGACGTCGCCGTAGCCGATCGTCGTCATGGTGATGAGTGCCCACCAGAATCCGCGAAAGATGCTGTCAAAGTCGTTCTCGGGATTGTCGGCGAATCGCTCTGCGTAGTAGATGAGGCTCGCGAAGATCAGAATGCCGATGACGATGATCATGATGAGCAGAAACAGCTCCTTCAGACTAGCCTTGATCGTGTGGAAGAGAATCTTCAGGCCGCTAAGATGCCGCGTCAGCTTAAAGATGCGGAAAATGCGCACAACGCGGAAAAAGTTGAGAAACTCGAGTGTCTTCTGCGTCACGTTCGGATTGACGGCCTTGATGATCAGCTTGCAGTAGAAGGGCATGATCGACAGCAGGTCAACGACGTTCAGAGCCCCGCGCGTGAAGGCGCGCTTGTCCGGCGAGAAGGCGAAGCGCAGCAGCAGCTCTAGCGTGAAGTAGACGGTGACGATCCACTCGATGACGTCGAGCGCCGACGACGGCTCGCTCGTCAGGCCGACGAGCTGCGTCGCATTCGCCGACGCATTGTGAGAGTAGATGGCGACCCAGACGCGCGCGCCCTCTACCGTCTCCGTGCAGTACGTGACGATCGAGATGGCGATGAAGACGAGAGAGAGGATGTTGATCGACTGGGCAGGAGAGAAGGAGCGAGATGAGAGAAGAGGAGAGCGAGGAGATGAAGGGAGAGATTGAGAGAGATAGATAGATAGAGAGAAGAGAGAGAGAGGAGAGAGAGAGAGAAGAGAGAGAGAGAGAGAGAGAGAGGAGCAGAGAGTGGAGCAGAGAGGAGCGAGAGAGAGAGAGAGAGGAGGAGAGATGGAGAGAGAGAGAGAGAGAGAGAGAGAGAGANGTGCGTGCGTGCATGAGTGCTTGCGTGCGGGCGTGCATGGGTGCGTGCGTGCGTGCGTGCATGAGTGCGTGCGTGCGGCGTGCATGCATGGGTGCTGGTGTGCGTGCGTGCATGGGTGTGTGCGTGCGGGTGTGCGTGCATGGGTGCGGGTGTGCGTGCGTGCATACTACTGCACAGTGTTTTTTTTATTTCCTTCTTGGATCGGTTTGCACTTAATTCCCTGCCTAGGGTCAGTCGTAAACATGTTGACGCGTGATTCGAGCTTCATCGACCCAACATCACGTAGAAATAGCTGATCGGGACGCTCCTATAGATATACTCCGTGACATCTCTCCGCTTATTTGGTGGCGAATGATTGTCTCCTCAGGCTCTGTCTTAATTTCTACACGCAGTAACAACCCCACTAGCAGTTGGTACGTCAGTATTAGGTCGGCTCTACTCTCTCTCTCTCTCTCTCTCTCTCTCTCTCTCTACTCTCTCTCTCATCTCTCTCTCTCATTTCTCTTCTTCTCTCTCTTTTCTCTCTCTTTCACTGCTCTCCTCTCTCCTCTCTCCTCTCGTCTTCCTCTCTCTCTCTCTGTCTCTCTCTCTCGCGCTTTATCTCTCTGTCTCTCTGTCGCTCTCTCTGTCTCTCTCTCGCTTATCTCTCTCTCTCTCTCTCTCTCTCTCTTCTCTCTCGCTCTCTCATTTCTCTTCGCCTCTCTCTCCGCTCTCTCTGTTCTCTCTCTCTCTTTCTCTCTCTCTTTCTCTCTCTCTCTTCTCCCCTTCTCTCGCGTTTCTCTCTTTTTGAGCATGCTACTCTGTATCTCTCTTTCTCATCTCCTCTCTCTCGCTTTCCCTCTCACTCGCTTTCTCTCTCTTTGCAGCATCTACTCTGTATTTTTCTCCTCTCTCCCCCCTCTCTCTACTGCTTCTCTCGTCTCGCGCTTTCATCTCTCTGTCTCTCGTCGCTCTTTCTCCTCGTCCTCTCTCTCTCTGCGTGCAGCTCTCTCTTTTCCTTCTCCCTCTCGTCTCTCTCTCGTCGCCTTTATCTTCTCGCTCTCTCGTCGCTCGCTGCTCCGCTCTCTCCCTCTCTCTCGCCTTTCTCTCTCTTTGAGATCTATAACTCTATATCTCTTTCTCTCTCCTCTATCTCTCTCTCTCCTCTCGTCCTCTCTCTCTCTCTCTCTCTCTGTTCGTCTCTCTCCTTCTCACTCGGCTTTCTTCTCTCTTTGGGGAGAATCTACTTTACTTTTTCTTCTCTCTCTCCTCCTCTCTTTCTCTTTCTCTCTCTCTCTTCTCTCTCTTTCGCTCCCTCATTCTTGCTCTCTCTCTGTGTCTCTCCTCTCGCTTTATCTCTGTCTCTCCTCTGGGGTCTCTCTTGCTCTCTCTCTCCTCTCTCTCTCTCTACTCTCATCTCTCCTCTCTCTCTCTCTCCTCTCGCTCTCTCTCTACTCTCTCTCTCTCTCTCTCTCATCTCGCGCTTATCTNTCTCTCGTCTTCTCTCTCTCTCTCTCTCTCTCTCTCTCTCTCTTTCTCTTTCTCTGCGTGCGTCTCTCTTTCTCCCTTCTCTCTCGCGCTCTTTCTCTTTCTCCTTCTCTCTCTCCCCCGCTCTCTCTCCCCTTCTCTCCCCCGTTCTCTCTCCCCTCCCCCTCTATCTCCCCCTCTTTCTCCCCTTCTCTGACCCCCCTTTGTCCCCTCTCTGTCCCCTCTCTCTTCCCCTCTCTCTCTCCATCTCTGACCCCCTCTGTCCCCTCTCTGTCCCCTCTCTGTCCCCTCTCTCTCCCCGCTNAGAGAGAGAGAGAGGGGACTGAGAAAAAGAGAGAGACGGGAACTCCCCTTGGTCCTCTCGCCCGCGCTACCCCCTTGCCTCCACCTACTGCTCCGCCACGAACGCATGCACGCACGCACGCACGCACGCGCTCTCTGTTTTTGCCGCGCGCGCTGCTAGAATCTATAGCCGCTGCTATAATTGCACCGAGGCTAGCCGGCTCTCTCTCTTGTCGAAGCCTGGGAAACAACTGCGGGCCGCGCACCTGTGTATTTTTACCTGCGCATGTATAGACGCGCAGATGCGTCGATTTACCGGCCACGAAGAGCGGCGGGTGGGTGGGTGGGTGTTATGGTGGGTGGTGCTCGAAGCGGGATTAAGAGGACGACTAACCGGGAACGCGCTGTGTGTGTGGAGGGGAGAGATCGAAAACCAGACCCGTTCCCCGCGACCCTCGTTCCACCCTTTCCCCGTTCAGTACTAACGGGTTTCTCTCCGGCTGGTCGCCTACGTCATTTCTCCGGCTGCTGCTCTCTCACTCTCTCTCCCTCCTCTCTCTCTCTCTCTCTCTCTCTCTCTCTCTCTCTCTCTCTTCCTCTTCCTCATCCCCCTCCTCTCCCTCATTCTCCTCCTTCTCCTCCTCCTCTCCTTCCTCTCCCTCCTCTCATTCCTCTC